AGTACATTGTTAGTGAAGTCCTTGAATAATCTCAGACAAAGAAACAGTGAAAGTAGAGCAAATCCAAAATTTCAGAAGAAATGTAGAAGTCAAGTCCCCAAAAGGAAGGCAGTTCTTGGTGCTGTCAGGGACTTAAAGTTAATCTTCAACGGTAACATTTCTATTTTCCATCTATTTTCTAAAAAGGGTAATCAGACCTTACTCACTAGACTGACTCAATGACTACCTTCATCCTATAAAAGACTGTTCCTCAAGCTTAGACTATCTATCTATCTATCTATCTATCTATCTATCTATATCCAAATAAATAAATAAATACATGAATAAATAACCCATAAAAACATTCCTAATTATACAGCGCTTCTTCTCCAGAAAAGTATTTTGAAAGATTTGTTAGATATTTTTACTGGAAATCAGGTTTTAAAAATGGTTTTTGCAGTGTACGCATGAAAACAATGCTGAACACTGGCGATATGCAAGCTTTCTCAGGTGTAACAATCATTCACTTCACTTTTAAGTTCACTGTTTTCAGTCAAAGAATTTTACAACTTATGAAACGTCTAACAAAAATGGGCCTACTACAATATAAGGAAGTAATGCTTTTGCACAGTAAAAACAGACCTGACAAAACAGCAGAGTATTCTTTCTACATATCAAATTACTGCAAAATTCATGTTTTGATGAAACTAATGTCTATGTGCATTGAGGCAAGTAAGAGCAATTAACAGTCTGATTCTTGACTCTGTGGGATCTACAACCATATAATTTTGCTTCACTCAGCACACATTTCAAGTATATTGATATTATAAAAGACACATTTATTAATAGCATACATTAGTTTAGATTATATGGAACAATGCTTGTAAATTTTAGTCTTAAAATGTATCTTTTAACATGGTAACCTCTGCACCCTGTCAGTTGCTCAACTGGACTCAGCACGTTTCACCTTTTCCGTGTGAAGGAGAGATCTTTCTTGAATAGGAGCTCTCAGTGAAGATATGGCTCTCTTATAAGAAGCATAGAGAATTCTTGGAACCCTTTGTGAGCACTGTAGCTCTCTGTATACACCCCTTGTGCTGTACAGCCGGAGGTGAATCTTTCATGCAGCATTTACCTTGGCTCTATAAATAAACATGTAGACAGTATATGCCTGTCACATACATTATGTGACTTTCATAATAAAACGTGCTTCACATGGCTCCGGGGGGTGAATAAAGGTCTCCTGTAGTGAATCCATGTGTTTGTGTAAGAAAAATATCCATATTTCAAATATAATAAACACTTTTATATCACTTCTGCTGACTGAGAAACACTGAAGCAGTTCCGGCGGAAGGCACAGCTTCCCCATAATTTTGAGGTGAAAATGGGAGGAGGACGATTTAATGTTAATAAAATTCACAATTCATTTCAGTTCATGTCTCAGAATGTGTATTTTTTGTTTGTAATTTCACAGTTGTAATAAAATAACGTGAAAGTGCCGCTTTTCTATCGCAAATGTGCAGAATCTACTGATGTAATTGCAACCGCTAATGATAGAGAAGGGTCGGGGGAGAGGTGAAGGCGGATGACGTAGCACGTCGGCGTTGCGTGATCAGTGACGAACGCGGAGAGACAACAAAAGAAAACAAAACGCCGGTCAAGAATTAGAAGTACAAACCAAAGATTTGCAAAGAAACATGTCGGAGGATTTCGATATAAGCCAAGAGGAGACTGGTTTTCCTTTGCTAAAGTAAGGAACCTTTGTTTCCTTTGCTAAAGTAAGGAAACTTTGTTTCCTTTGCTCCTATAAACAATCTCGCAAGACTAGCATATCTCAGAGGCGCGCAGCGCATACGTCATACGCCTTCCGCCGGAACGCCTTCCACATATGACAGATAACGGAAGTGAGAGAAAAGTGTTTATTACGTTTGAAATATTTTTCTTACAAAAATGCATGGATTCACTACAGAAGGCCTTTATAGTGGTTAAGCAAATTATAATAATAATAATCGGCAGGGATCCCAGACCAATACAATTAGTGTGCCTCCTCTATTTTAAAACCCACGAGCTGCCACTGACATTGACATGAGCCAATCTGAAGTAGTATGCAGGTCTGCCATGTAAATACATTGCCTTTTCTTTCAGCCCTTAAATAAATAAATAAATACATACATAAGAAATTATTTTTACCCAAAATTGGCAGGTAAGATTAGCACATGTACACTAGGACTTCATCTACAGTAGACCCATTCGCTTTGTCAATTATTACAAATAGCAGTACAACCGGGGGGGGGTTAGACGACTTCAAGCTGTTATAACTTCAAATTTTACCAGGGGACCCCTTAAAACGCGGTTAGTTTGGGCTAGTTTTGAGTAGCAATTGTGTGGGTTTTGTTGTGTGAAACCTGGCAACCCTGTCCATCAAGCAGGTAATGTTATTATTGCTAACATAGCGGACTTATGAAAAAATACATTGGCATCATCTGTATTAAAGAGAAAATAATCACTTCATCCGATGTTTAAGTGAATAAATTAGCCTTGACAGCCTTGGAGTTCCACAACTATTGACTTTGTTCTCTCTCACCAGACTTGTGTGTGTGTAGGTGATGTAAAAGAGGAAAGCAGGCATTTGGACCAAAGCACTGTGAGGCAAGGGAGGGGGAGACTCAAAATGTTTCTAAACTTAAAACGCATTTTTGCCCCGTTTGCGTTGCTTTACTACTTACAGAATTAT